TGTGCTTCACCACATTCGTCAGTGTGGCTTGGTGAAGGGGGGGGGGAGGGAGCAGTGTGGGGGGCAGAATAAGTTCAGATGTCACTCATCAGTGAAACCATATCAAGCGATTACATTATCATGATGATCATGATAGTTTGGGACCAAAATTACATTTTGTTTAAGTGGCAACAAACACAATTGTCCTTGTGTAGTACCCAAATTCCAGCACGACATCGCAGAACAATTGCCACGGCCGATCCCTGCAGTATATATGTTACTTATATAGTAACGATGCCATCTCGGTCTAATTTTTGACCTGCCGTTCTCGTCCTTTCATCTATATGTAGGGGTGCCAGGGGAAGTATTCCCACCAATAGGAGGGTTAGTGGGAGGGGTGATCGAGTAGATATAAGGGGAGAACGGGCGGGAAGAAGGGGCCTTTGGCGGGAACGAGATTGGGACGGCTGGGGACAGGTGTGGATGGGAGAAAAGGATTAAAGGACGAGACCCCTGCAATCTTGTGTCGGCTCTTCTTTACACATACATCACCCTCCCCCCTCCTCGTCCTTTAACCCCCTCACTGGGGCTCGGCATTCGTTACAGTGTCCTTCTTAGCGCTGGCAGGACAGTGGCCACGGTGCTTGCACGCTGCCACTATTCTGGCTCGGCCGCTATTTATACCAACCACCTTCGCCCCGATGCGCCACAGTCCTGAGTCCCGGAATCATGCACGCGGGCGGCAACAGCAGCAGCAACAAGAACAACAACTTTAATTCTAGATTTGAAGCTTTCGTGACTGCAAGGATTCATATTCTTAGGTTTTTTTCGGTAAAGTCACGTAGGTAAAAAATTTCAATTGATAAAAGTTAAATAAAAATCACGACGTTTGTGTTGCCTCCGAAACGTCGTGATTTTTATTTTATTAATTTAATTTTTTTACCTACGTGACTTTACCGAAAAAACCTAAGAATAAGAACAACAACAAAAACGTCCTCCTCGGAATTCCTCCGCAAGGGCAGTAGGTGGCCGGGTGGCCCCGGTGTTCGAATTCGAGGAAGCTGTCTGTGCTCATAAAACCAGGTTCACAAGTGCGGTGGAGTTTTGACGGTCCCAGCCCAGTCACCGAATGGCTGCACGAGAAACACTCACATTTAATTGAGCGGTGTGCTCATTTTGGATACGTTACAGCTCCATAAAAAAAAAAACCTGACTGTCATGCGGGGAATAGCACTCTCACGTGGACGGGCGAGTGGGACAGTTCTGCCCCCCTACTGTGTGGACCAGAGGTCAATTGAAGGGCTCTCGGAGGCAAGCGCTGCGATATCTACTTGTGAGGGAGCGTTCCCTAATACGAAGGGCCGTGTCCGTACTGCTCCGAGGAGAGAGATCGGAATGGGAACTTCACCTCATGACATGACAGACACTGACGGCACAGTGAATTCCCCAAGCGAATATGCGTGCCCCCGTGAAACGACACGCCACAGAGAGCCCTTCATCGAGTAGGTTGGAAAGTTCTCAACGTTAACTACTGGGAGTCAAATGAGCCAAGTACCCAGCAGGTTTACCATCCACTTCTGTTAAACTACACCTTGACTTAAAACTTTCGTGACTGCAGGAATTAATATTCGTTGGTTCTTTTGGTAAAGTCACGTAGATATGAAAATAAAGTGAATAAAAATTTAATAAAAAACTAAAACCACGACGTTTCGATAGCAACACAAGCGGTCGTCATCAGGAAATGAGGGTTAGCCTCTAAAGGCAAACTGTTTATAAAGGTTTAAAATGGGCGTAGCCCAAGTGTCAGCAGCATGGGCGGGGCAGCTAATGTTAATGTAAGTGATGGTAGGAGTGGGAAACGACGGTGCTGGTGGTGGGTTTCCACCAATTAAAGGGCTGCCAGGTAATCATTGCACCTCGCTTTACACAATCACACCGTTGACGGTGGAGGTTGCTGCTAGAGGTGATGGTAGTAGTAGGTAATGATGGTACTGTTGGTGGGCTTCCACCAATTAAGGGCTGCCAGGTCTAAAATTGAAACATCACAGCAAGTTATGACTTGAAATGGTTGAGAACGTCCTTCAAGTGATTGCTGAGTTTGTACCCATCTTCTCGGTTGAAATTGTGTCTATGTCTGTATATATGGATGCCTTCATGAACGAATCTTTGTTGATAGTCAGTGGGTTTGCAAAGTACCTTCGTCTTCGAGAAATCAATTTCGTGTGAGCCCACCGCATTAAAATAATGATCAGCCACAGCAGAACTATTGGTCCTACCGTGTTTCAAATCTGCCTTATGCTCACGAACACGGTCCGAGACATGCCGCTCCTTTTCCTAATGACGACCGCTTGTGTTGCGATCGAAACGTCATGGTTTTTGTTTTTTATTATTTTAATTTTATTTTTATTCACTTTATTTTCATTACTATATCTACGTGACTTTACCGAAAGAACCAAAGAATATTTAAACTATACCCTTCAAGCTTGCCCTTACTCCTGCGTTTCAGTACTTGACAGTGAATTAGATTTACCTACAACCTAAAATTGAAAGCTGACAAACACTGCCGTGTGTGTATAGCACTTCTGGGCTGCCACTTGATGTAAATATAGCTGCCGTTAACAGCTTCAATAGCAGGGCTCAATTACACTTTAGCTGTCAAGTGCTCCCTATGCAGCAGGTCGTAAGCGATACAAGCCACGAGACCGTAATGTTTATAGGCTCACGTGCTTCGTAGGACATTTACAGTTACAGATCTTCTGAGTAACGCATTAGCGCCAATTGCACTTAAGTTGTCCTTTCCATTGAGGCAGTTAATGATTTTCGAGAGATCTACGAATCCAAGGATTGCTTCCACTTACACGTGAACTTAGAACACATACATTAGCTCTAAATAGCTGCATCAGCTTGAGGTGACCTGGTGGCTTGGCGGTCAGGACACTACGCCAGTTACACGGTTTGAGCTCCGGGGTTTGTATCCAGGTTTAGACCACCTGTGATTGACTGAAGTGTGGTGAGTTTGTGGTCTCAGATCTGTAAACTACACACGCAAAAAAATAATACTTAATTATTTTTAAATTACATTTGGCTTTTACTTAACTGCCTAAATTTCACACCTGGAAAGTAAAGCATTTTCTTTGACATTCCACAAACCATCTTTGTAGGGCGTGTAAAAGGTGACCTTTGGTGTGGCTAAAGAGACCGCTTAAAGTAACTTCAGAAGTAGTTCTGTAACTAAATTTGCCAGGGCCATTCTCCGACACGGGGTGATGCACTGCTATCTATTAGAGTTTGCACATTTAAATTCCCTTGTCTCGTAACATGGTGATATGACAGTACGATGAGAACAATTTGAATGTAATTGTACGTGGGAAAGACCATTTTGATTGAGGTATGGACATTGGCAGCAACGTTGTTGCTTGCAGGAGAAGATGGACTACATTGTGAATGGTGCGAGGGCATGCGGCCTTGGTGTAGAATGCGGGTATAAACGTCCGTGTCCATGCATACTGCAGCGTTAACGTTTTACAGCTGCATGAGTAACGCGATTTGCCTACGACCTTAGAAAGACTTTGGCTTGAGCTTTCATTACACTCTGACGCAGAGCAGCGATAACCTTCACTTCCGACATTCTGTAAAATCCTGGACGTTACCAATGTCAATGAATTGAGTTTACTTTTATATTCGCCCGTTTTTTTTTACAATTTTGTATACTGAGCTAGTATCTCTTTTTCTTGGTTCTTTCGGTAAAGTCACGTAGAAGGGAAATAATAAAATAATAAAAATAAAACATAATAACATATTATTATTTTAAAAGAATAAAAATAAAACATAATAAAAGAAAACATATTTTATTATTTCCCTTCTACGTGACTTTACCGAAAGAACCAAGAAGATGAATCCCTGCAGTCACGAAAGCTTTAAATCGAAATTTAGTATCTCTTTTTCAGAGGCGACCTGGCCACACATGATAGCTCATCAAAAGTTGATTATATCATCGTAAGTGGCAATTTGTAGTTCTATCCATCCAAATAATCAATACGAATGTTGTTTCTAAATGTACGGGGAAAAACTGGAGGTTCCAGAGAAAAGTCCACACGGCCACCACGGGGAGAGAGAGAAAACAAAATATGCAACAGGCATCGTTAGGGTCCAGGATCACACCCACGACCTCCGACATACTCCCACCTCGATTCAATGAACTGTCTGAATTCGGGATTGTGAATAAGTTAAATGAACAAAAACAATTGTAAGTGTGATAAATAATAATAACTCTAGTGACTGGGGAGGGACTTGTGAATGCATGACAACACATTTTGTTTTACTCGCACCTATTATAACACATGCGATTTGAGACACGTTTAACGAGCTCAATAATTATCAATGTTGATTGATGCATAGATGCATCGATACTCCCCTAATGCTTTGAGTTTTGTTCTATGATATGTAATTGGTTAAACAGAGTTCTCATTTTTGTTGAATCTCAATTTACCCAGGACTCATTTTCAAGTGGATCACTCTAAGAATGCTTGGCTACAACCTTGAAGAGTATTTTTGTTCCTCATTGCAATGTAAGTAAATGTACTTCCATCAAGTTTCTTTTTTTTTCATTAAAGTAGATTCCAAAGTGTGCTGGGAGCTGCTTCAAGAATTGAACAAGAAATTGTTCAGTTCCTAACGAAGCACCCAGGACGTGGAGTGAAACTTCGGAAATCGTGGAGAACAACACGCGGTTTGAGCTGAACACGCATCAGAAAGCCACACCACTCTCATTAAAGCAACCCCATCCACCCTGCCAGCCCAGAATTTTAACAAATGTGTACGTGGCCTTGCAGAGCAAAGCTCTGGTGACGAGTTCACCAACCACGAGTTCACTAACCAGGGTGGGGATTCGCAAACAGTGTTGATGAAAGCCACGACACCTCACCCAGCGGTTCAACCGGAAAACACATCACTGCCATTGATGCAATCCCCCATCGCCCCCGCCTCCTCCCCTGCCCACTCCATCCCCGTGCCGCTCGTACCTCCGCGGCGTACTGCACCCCGTCGACGTAGTGCTCCGAGCCGAGCTGTCTCCCCGCGCTGCCCCAGTGCAGGTGGAACTGCACAGCCTCGTAGCGCCAGGGCAGGCCCCCTCCCGACATCTCCATTCCGGGCGGCAGTTTCACAAACACTGTGGGCATGAGAGGGCAGTGCAGGGGGGGTGAGGGTTGCCACCTGGCCAGGCTTTTCCACGATCATCTAGGACAGGGGTGGGGAACCTTTTTTTCTGCCAAGGACCATTTGTATATTTATAACATCATTCGCGGGCCATACAAAATTATCAACTTAAAAATTTGCCTGTTATATTTGGTCAAACATTTAATTAACTCGCCCCTAATGCGATGGCTGGAAGTGCTTCTCTTTGGTGAGGAGTGTGATGTTAGCTGATATTGATGATGTTGCTATTCGCAACTGCTTTTCCAGGTTTGCTCCTAGATTTATTGGATTTCGAGTCCCACCTGCGGTTGCCTTGACAGGGCCAGACCAAATGATTGCGCGGGCCTTATACGGCCCGCGGGCCGGACATTCCCCACCCCTGATCTAGGACATTAAAAGTCCCAGTTTTTAAAATTATAATTTACCTAATAATAATGATACACCACTTGGAACGATGCATTATATCCACACGTCGCTCTCCCCTCTTCTGGTATTTTTAGCCATTCTGCATATTCCCATGACATGTCCCAGTTTTGTTGTTGTATTGCAGAGGTGGAAACCTCACCTCTGGGGAGGAGGGTGGGGGGCGGGGGAAGGTTACATAACGGGACCAGGTTCGTCAAGAAGGTGGACTCTGTCGACACTGACAAAACTCCCCTGCAAAGTAAATAGTCTTCTTCTTTTGTCGTGAGATCAACACTCAAATCTCCCCGACAGTGACCCACCTTTCCTCAGGCATGATTACTTTGAGCTGCGCTTCCTGCTGCCTCTGTCGTGTCATAATTGTAGGGTTATAAATGAGGTACAGCGCTTGTAATTGACGGCTTTTGATCAAGCAAATTCTGGATGAAGGCCTCCCCATGCTCGGTCAGTTGCGGTTGGCTATTTCTACCATACTTCACCACGCCGGTCAGTGCGGGTTGGTGAAGCCTGGAATCGGTTCAGATATAATTCGCCGTTGATGTTAGTCATGGCCGGGAAATCAAATTCAGGTTCTTAGCACAGTGCGCTGCTAACCGTTGAGCCACCGGTGACCCCCAAAAGTACTTGAAAACGTACATTTGAAAACAAGTACGAACTTGCATGCTCTATAAACCGTAGTTTAAAGTGGGCACTTTGAACTTCAAAAGGCCCCCGTCCGACAACTTGTGGCTACAAGCAAAAGGAGGCAATAAACTCCATCCAACTTTTTTCCAGTGGCAGGTGAAATAATCAGGTGGCGAATGAATGATTGAGAAGCAAAGACAAAGCGGAGGAAATGAATAATGCACCTGAGCTGCGCCCCCACCACTACAGGGGAATCGGCGCCAATCCCAACCCTACTGTCCAGTGGATGACAGCAAAAGGAGCAGTCCTGCAATTTCTTGCTTGTGCTCACCGCTGGCAGAAGGACATCCACTGTTTTGGCCTGCTCTTCCACGCTGACCAGACGTTTACGAAGAGGTGTGAGTACCCACACTTTACCCGAGAGTAACTATGGTAAAACTTTTATACTATCCAAGAGCTATATAGCTCTGGCCACAAATGATATCCCAATAAAGTGACTTATCGTGTGGACATTTATCGAAGCCAAATACTCCAAATACTCTAATGTTGCCACGGCATAGTTGGTTTTACACTTTGATCATTCGTGGAGTTGTAGTCATCGTCCTGCTTGATGATTTTCATCCAATCAGTGATTGTGGACCGAAAGAAAAAGAAACTCCATTTGGCGACTATTTTGGTCACGAATTTCCCTAATGAAACAACAACAACAACATAACACGTAGGGTTTCGCGACCAATATTATTCATAATCAACGTTTTTGGGTTTAGATCGCGTTATTTATAAATGTGTCGTAACCCTCCACCACCCGACACAGCCAATCAGTAAAAAAGTGTCACGTTGACAAAAGACAAATAGTTCACTGCTTTAGCCCACCGGTGTGTTGAAGCGTGAAACCACAACAATTACAATTTGAGTACGACGTTTCACTGGTAATTGCATCCAGCATCATCGGGCAATTCGCCAGAATGGTGAGGCTCTGCTGTGTCTCCCGTTCTTATATAGAGCAGCAGCAGGGCCACCATTCATCACTAAGTGAAAGTCACGTCACTGCAGCGCTGGTGGCCAGGCTTCGTATGCTTTGAGGCCCTGTGAAGGTGGTCAAAGGTTCGCTGGCAAGAGGTCATTCATGACATTAACACCGGACGGACGCTTTGGTGGCATGCCCGCGCACGCACGTACGTACGTGTGTGCCCGTTGTTGGTCATGTTGTAGGTGGTCTGGCTGGGCGCGTCGTAGCCCAAGACAGAGACGGGGGGCAGGTCGGGGACGAGGCGGGTGGCATCCGTTCTCACGTCCACAGGCGACTGGTTGTCCTCGCCGCAGATTGGGTACGTCTCCTTCCAGTGATCCTGTCCATGGGGACCTGTGTGTGTGCGTGTGTGTGTGCATGTGTGTGTGCGTGTGTGTGTGTTGTGGGGTCAGGAGGAGCGGTAGTGTAGCGGTTAGCGCGCTGCGCTACGAACCTGGCGACTCGAGTTCGAATCCCGCTCACGGCGAACACCAGTGACGATTATCTGAACCGGTCCTGGGCCTCCCCTAGGTCGACTCAGCCTCAAATGAGTACCTGATGCAGTGTGTAAACATTGCCACTAGGGAGACAAAGGCGGTCGGGCGTGGTGCTGGCCACCCACCCCCTTGTGTACCGTTCCGGCCTTCATAGGTGCTCGTTAACAGCACTTGCCCCTACAGTCTGTTAAGGCTATATGGGAGATCTTTGTCTTTGTTGTGGGGCCAGTGGAGCAGTAGTGTAGCGGTGAGAGCGCTGCTCTACAAACCCGATGGCCCGAATTCGATTCCCGCTCACGGCCAACACCAGTGACAATTATTTGAATCGGTCATGATCCTCCAAGGTCAACTCAGCCTCAAATGAGTACCTGGTGCAGTGTGCAAATATCGCTACTGGGGAGACAAAGGTGGCCGGGCGTGGTGGTGGCCACCCACCCCCTCATGTGCCATGCCGGCCTTTATAGGTGCTCGCTAACAGCAGCTTGCCCCAACAGCCTGTTATAGGCTATACGGGGGATCTTTGTCTTTGTGTGGGGCCAGGCATAAGCGGAGCAGTGGGAATGTATTCCCCATCATAGTTGGTCATGGTCCATCAACTGCTTGATGAAGGTTCTCCCCATGCTGTTGCTATCGCAATATTCCAATCTTGCACCTGCGCACGAGCTGACCACATCGCTCCATCTCCACGGTGTATGTCCTACTGGGCATGCTCTCTCCAATAACTGCTACTCACTCCAAAGTCAGATTCATCCACCTGCCATAATTATTCCGAGCCACGTGTCCTACCCAAGCCTCCGCATCATAATTTTGTCTCTCGTTGTAATTTACAGGATGCACTTCTCCATGCTTCTCTTTGCACTTTTCATAATTTATTCTCGTTCATTTGTCAATGACAGATGTTTCCGATTAATATGTAACGAAAATGTAAATACTCACCAACTTAAAAAAAAACATTGGAGGCAAGTTACAATGATTCACACTCGGAGGGGTTCGATAAATGGTCACATTTTGGTGTTACAACCCTTTTTTTTCCCAGGTAAAGCCCACTGAGCTGTGTAGCTCTTTTTCAGAAGAGAACTGACCACAAATGACAGCTCAACGAAGTGGCTTATCACGTGGAAATGTATAGCAGCCTCTCAATGCATGTTTCTAAAGGCGGAGGGAAACCCGGAGAACCCGGAAAAAAAGCCACGGAATCCACGGGGAGGACATGCAAACTCTGAAGATACAGGCGCCAGGGTCAGGATTGAACCCACGGCCTCCTGTATAAAGAGGCGAGGGAGTTGGAGCGGTGGCTGAATGCTGCACGGAGGCAGCTTAGAGTGGCGGGGAGGTAGAGGACTTGCGTCAGGAACGACTGGATATAGCTAACGCTGGTAGAAGGAGCTGCGTGTGTGTGGAGGAGGTCACGGGGGTGGCTGTGGGGGAAGACGCCCAAGTGATAGCTGCATGATACCAGAAGGAACCGACCTGGATCCAGAGTTTTCTTGCTTAACCAAAAAGCTGCTGGGTGAACATCAGTCTGAAAACCCAATAGGCTAAAGGACCAAAACACATATCGTACGTATTTGTATGAGACCCATATTGCAGTGGTGCTCTTATTTGCTGTCACCTTTGGTAGCATTGCAAAAGGTGGCATGGGTCATGTGCGCAGTAGTTGACGGGCCCTGTTGGAGCAGTCGCTGTGGTGGTTAGCAGGGAGGAGATCAGCTGCTTTTGTCAGCCTGTGTCATGCTGAACCGTATGGGATGAACAATGGATGGATGGCTCGAACAAATCATTGTGGACAGCCTTTCCGTCATAACTCTGTGGTTGTTGTCGATATTGAATATGAAATGAATGGAGAGTCTTGTTTAGGAACAGTTCTCACATTGGCAACTGGGGGGTGTTTACCGTATGACACATATTGATTTAAATATTGTTGAAACACAGCACTGTGTGTCAGCCATTGAATTACTGGATACATATGTCTAGGTAGATTTATCTTATAGAAGACATTATTCCCTGCGCAAACAGACCTATGGCGTGCCGTGTACAGCCCTGCATAGATGAAGGTTTTCGACTGTTTCACACGTAGGCTTTCGCGACCAACGTTATTGATCGTACACATTTTTTTGGTTTGGCTCGCATTAATGTAGATGTGTCATACACCCACCTAACACACCTGTGTGCGGAAGTGGTAAGAAATCGGTACATTTTATTCACGGGACAAGCCTGACTGATAATAATGACCTGTGTCGGGTGGAGGTGGGTGTGCATTTCACGTGATCTAAGCCGAAAAGACGTTATCAAGAATTTCCGATTGTGTTTAACATGCGCGCCATCCTTATTGCGTTACGTGAGATGTCTTCTTTCAATGGCTATCTAAGCCCACACTATATACACAGTGTGGCCTGCATATTTGTTACCGCGGTAAATGTTTGCTTTGCAGCCTGCACTTGTCTCTATTAATCTCCACGTGGGCAACGCACGTTCCAAACGATCACCTGGAAGATGCCGAGGATGACAGTTCATGTGGCCGTGTGTGCTGTGCATACTGTAGGACCACGCAGCTGTACGAGCACTCGAACACGCGTCAATCATCACACGACGACGTCCAATGAACTACTGCGGAGGAAGCGAATCTAACTGGACCCCAGCTGTGACTTTGTTTTCGATCCAAGTCTGCTTTCAATGTAGTAGTAAGAATAAAATGTTTAAAATGAGTTGTTTTTCATATAGCACCCGATACGCCCGGGCGTCTCAGAGCGCTTTACATCACATCTCAAACATTTTAAAGGGCACCACCCGGTGGCAGCTCTCCCTGCGGGCACAACGCGACATTGAGTGTGCCAGTAGAGGGCACTGATTGCCGTGTATGATCCCAATTGAGTACGCGAATTTATGGGTAAACATGTCAAAAGGCATAAGCTGATCAGGGAGCCTCAGTAAAGTCAAGACATCTGGAACATGCGATTGGCTTGGGGAGGAGATGGCAATCTACTGACCTGGAGAGGTAATAACCTGTCTGACTGGGAAGACCTCGTGAGGAACCTGGGGAGAGTGAGAGAGCCAGACACTTCTGGCTGGGTTTGAGAGGGCATGATCCAGTGCGACCAGGGTCTACAAGTCCTGTGCACGGTGGAAATAACCAGTGGGTCCTCAATTAGCTCCACTACATCCATGCACCACCGCGAGACAGATTAAGGAGATTGTCAACGTTGGGACGTGGCAAGCCCCTGCTGAAAAAAGTGGTATTTATTATAAAATCTTATTTTTTATAAAGCGTTATTCATTATAACACTTTTTTTTCAGGAGGGGCTTGCCAAGTTTTTGCAGTAGAGGAAGATGTTACTCCGTATAATCCCCAATAAAATAATCAACGTAATAATGTTTTGGCCAATACCAGTTTCATTGCAGGTTTCATTCATTTTTTTTACTATGGGAGGAAACCGGGGAACCTGGAGGAAACCCGTCCAGAACCTGTAATGACATGTTGGACTGTTCCCAGTCGGACAGGTCATTATCGGTGGAGAGAACACACAAACTTTACACAAACCTCACACAAACTTCACACAAACTCCACACAAACTTCACACAAACTTCACACAAACGCCACACAATCTTTACACAAACTCCACACAAACTTCACACAAACTTCACACAAACTTCACACAAACTCCACACAAACTTCACACAAACTTCACACAAACTTCACACAAACTTCACACAAACTTTACATAAACTTCACACAAACTTCACACAAACTTCACACAAACTTCACACAAACTCCACACAAACTTTACACAAACGTGCCCGAGTCGGAAATCACACCCTTAACCTTCTTACTGCAAGACGCAAGTTCCACCACTGCGCCACACTTGCCCACACGTTCCAGTCACGAAGAAGGGAAACCATCACATTCGGTTTGGATGGAATACTTCACACACTGCGGGGCGGGGGAAATGGTGTGGACGATTCCTGACCGAAAACGAGAGGCGTTCGCACGAAAGTTCGCGGTGTGCGAAACTCTCTTACTCACCTGGGGGCAAGGACTCAACAGTCATGAAAACATGTGACTGCATTGGGTGGTTTTGCGCACCCAGACTTGGGGGTCGCAGTTTTTGGTTCAAGACTTGTGAGGGAGATAGAGGCAGGGGTTCAGCAATGGCCAGTATCTAAATCGTCAAGGTATTTACAACGTTACACTTCAATGTTGCGGCTTGCGTTCCCAGCGCTATACCTAACAGTATATTAAATCCGAAGCAGACATTCCTGCAATGACGGTGGGGGGGGGGGGGGGGAATCCGCAATTTGTGGCCAATGATCAACATTCCTGCGTTAAAATCCACACGCATGGATTCACATTCTACTCAGAGCGGGAACAGAGGGAAGTGAATCTCCCTGTGCCGTGGTGGTGCATACACGTGCGTCGGTACTGGATAATTTGAAACGAACCATTTTAGTGGAAAATGCCTTTCATATCCAAAATTTTTTCAGGTCCAAATTCCAACTCTGTGTGTATAATAAATAACGGCGGTAAATTCCGTCATTGGGAGAGTACACCCTCTAAAATAAAAGGACAAGGCTAAACAATATCAATCTAGATTTGAAGCTTTCGTGACTGCAGGAATCCATACTCTTTGGTTCTTTCGGTAAAGTCACGTAGGTAGAAAATAAAACAAATCACGGCGTCTCTCTCCCACTTGAGAAAAAAAATGTCTTGCTGTGGGTTTCCCACTAAACAATATGTTACAAAATAGAATGTCTACGGCAATTACTTTATGGCCCAGATCTCTCTGCGGCGAGCGATGGGGGTAATGAGGCAACGCAGCTCGCTTAGTGCAAAGACATTATCCGCTTTCCCGAGTGCTTCAT